GATATAAATGATACCGTGCAATCAGTCGACCTTATCGCCTGAAGAAGACTAGCAGTAAGCAGTCGAAACGTCGCGATCTACATCTCAAGTGACTACATTATGAGACAAACGATAATACACTTTATTAGTGTTAAAGTACTAGTCTGATCGAGCTGTCCGCTTATTGCAGGCTTTGTGTAACAAAAGGTCTAAACATTGGTCTCCGCGTCCGCTTGACAGTGGTGTCCGCCGAAAACAGGTTTGTTTTACAGTTAATGTGGGGAAAAAAAATTTGGGACTCAAGCTAGTATCCGCTTAATATGGGGAACACTACTTCACGGACGAACATTGTTCAGTTGTGAAGCCACGGTGACTCTTTGTTTAGACAGCAGCTCTCTGAAATAACGAAAAATAAAAATTTCGAAATTTCCAAAGGGTATAAAATCTGCTAAACGACGGACACCCACCACCTTGAGTCCCAGAATTTTTCCCACATTTACTGTAAAATAATAATAATCGGTTCTGGTTGCAAACGCGAAGAGTACTTCACTGGCGATCATGTGTCTCCAGTGTCACTTTTTCTTCATGCCCAGGCCTCGGGGACTACAGAGGGACGGACGGTTCTGGAGACGAGACTGCCTTGAGGATCGGAGTGAATTTCTCAACCAGTTTCTACTCTCGCCGTGGGAGGGGGACATGAGTACCATATTAGGTCTGGGTGGGGTAAAGTGAAGACTGAGAAAATTTCAAGCTCATTGCCTGATTTCAAACCGAAAAGGACTAGGTACGAGTCTGTAGATTATGGGATTAGCAACTATTGATCCACATAGTTAGAAAGAACAAACCGAGATTCACAAAATCCCCAAGTTTAGTGTTAATCAGGCTAGTTTTGACTGAGATACAGCCATTTAAAAACGCCAAAATTACACAGAAATATTTGGTCATCCAGACACAGCGTCCGGATAGCGATACATGTAAATTTTGATGTTTTCAAATGGTTGTATCTTGTTTACTATTGGGTCTATTTGCACCAAACGTGGGGATTTTGTGCTTGGTATGCACTTTTTGTGCTTGGTATGCACTTTAAGGCTATGTGGATCAATAGATGCTAATCCCATAATTTGTAGACTCGTACCTAGTCCTTTTCGGCTTGAAATCAGGCAATGATCACTTCAGAAAATGGCCCATAATCAAAATACAAAATTCAAAATATTAATACATGGAAGGTGTTTAATTAACAAAATGACAAGGATAAACAAATGGTTCAAGCTGAGCTGACTTTTATGGCTTCTGTTCTTCAAATCAAATCCTTTTCAAACCAGGTGGTGTAAAACATCTTTTTGTTATTACGCTGTAACTAACACTGGTCTTTCTGATCATTCAAAAAAAAAGGTCAACACGTACTTCGACAAAAAAGTATTTTGGTTCCCGAGTTTCATATTTTGAAACTTTTGGAAATATATATAAAAAATACTTGTCTTATGCAAACAATATAATAAAGACGGACAATTTGTGGGGATTCAGTAAGTTTCTATACTTCTTGTACATTTTTAATTACATCTGCAAAACTCTAGTCCCAGGAAACGAAGATTTACAAATTGGTACTAGTTTGGAAGCCAGACAAACGCTGTAGTGTTTGCGTCAGGCTTTGAAAGGCTGATTTCGAATTCAGCTCATGGAATAAAGTTAATAAAATGCAATGATAGTTTATTATGATGTACGTCATACCCGTGTTAATGACGTCACGGTTTTTAGAAACTGGATTGAATAGTCATTGTCCCCTTTCTAATTGCTCAAGCAGAGTTAATGCATGTTTATGTCAATATTGCAGATGTTACTTTAATGAGCTTTTAATGTGTGTTGATGTAGGTGGAAACCTATTTAAAAAACAGCAGATATCACAAACACATAGTTAAAGATGTAAAATTAAGTAACAGTGATTACTTCAAAAGAAGTGTCGAAATATCAGTGAAATTGTCAGCGTTTATAATGTCTTGTATTGTCTTGTACAGTGTTAGTGTGACAATTCTTCATACAGTCAAGCAATCTGTATTTTACACAAGGGAACGTTTTTCGTCCAAAATTTAGCGTACTCACTTCTTTCATCCAAATCATAGCCATTACGGGGTCTATCATATCTTAGATAGGTTTGCCTCTCTATAATTATATAAATAGCAAAAAAATAATTAGGTCGATAGATGGCCTATGCTGAGTATCAATAAAGTTTGTTTACGGTTTGGTTAACCAAGCTAATTGCAATAAATTTTCTCTGTGTAAACATCGTTGGCAATTCTTATTAACAACAGTATTATCCTATCCAGGAGATTCTTTAAGATAGCTTGCTTGCGAACCGCTTTTATACCGGGATATCATACGGTAGGCTTAAAATTATTTATTTACGTCTCGATATATTTTTTATCTGAGTTAAAGTTCTATTCTGATAACAATTTTCTTCAAAATGGTATCAAAGCAAGCTGCATCACAACTGCAATATTCATGCTAATATTCGTCGATCGCAGTTTTGCTTTCAACTTGAAAACCGAGCTGTAAAAGGCTCTACAAGATGAGCGGAAAATTGAATGTTTTTGACATTTAAAAAGCTCCTACAATTGTAGAGGGAAAAAAAATTTACCATACGGGCTACTCGTGAGCAACATTGCCCAAGCTACCTTTTAGAAATCCTCGTCGTTGTAACCATTTCGTAGCTCTCAACAACACATAATGCATCCTTTCCACAATCAATGAATTTTAGTCTATAACAATCTTTAAGGCTATTTGAACTTTTTCGGGAAAACTCCAAATTCGCAGTAGCAGAAAATGTTTCCAATAACAAGTTTAACCCAAGAGTTATGTTTGTTTTCTTTTCGTAATTTTTTTTTTTTTTTTTTTTTTTTTNCATCCAAACGCTGTTGTTACTCTATAATACTGCAAAAGGGTAACTGGGACCTCCAAAGAAAGTGTACAGTTGTATGTCCAAAATATATTACAACTTCATTTATTTTATTTATTTTTTTGTTTGTGGTTGTTTTGCTTTTTGCGTATATTAAAGTAAGATGTGTTATGTTTATGGTATGATTTTAGTTTCTTTCATGTTTAAAAGGAATTTAATTTATTTTCTTTCACTTTAAACAAAAGTGTATTAGAAAAACAGTGCGACACATGCATGTGGGAAAAAAAAAAATTGAAATGTCCGTAATAGAAATCAGATTTTATTCACTTCATTTCAGTCTATTGATTTCATTCACAAAAAGTGACAAAAAAAAAACATTTATGAAATGCAGGTCAATGCAGATTTTTTTTTTTTTTTTCTACAATAATATTTTTTTTGGCCCTGAGATTTCTACAGCTTAGCTCCTGTTCAGTAACTACGTTCCCTCGCTACGGTAAATAATCTTTTCTTTCTGACGTAAGCTCTTGCTATAATATAGAGCAATTTTAACAGCATCCTCGAGTGACTGGTCATGACTTAACGCGATATTTTATCGTGTTGCGTGCTTTTAAAAATGACGTGAAACAAACGATTCGACTGGAAATACAGCATTCTCACAACCCAAGAATTGCTTCGCTTGCAACGTAGTCGGTAATATTCTGACTTCTC